TACCCAGCTGCATATACATTTATATATAAAACACATTAAAGCATGATACAGACTCCAGCTCATCTGTCGCAACGGCCGCGTCGACACGTGAAATCAGTTTAATCTTCTGCGTATGAAACCGCTTTAGTAAAGACTTGGAGTGAGGGAGGGTTGAGACATTTGGACAGAGTTAAAAATAAACCAGAAGCCTGTTGCAAAACATTTCATAAATGGCAAACATTATTAATGTGTGGTGTGTTTTCAGTGAGATTCCAGTGGTTGGTTGTTTCCAGGCGGGATGAGCTGACTGATCGGCAGAGAGAAAAGACTTGTTTAAAACTTTAATGTGGTTAATGGTTTGTGGGAGGCTCTGACTGTTGTTTTTGAAGCCACTGAGTGATTGTAGTTTCAGAGCAGGCTCTGCTCTTTGTAGCTAAAGTTCTGTTCAGTGAGGATTTCACAGATGGCTGATAATCTGGCTGCAGCTGTGAGGCTGCCTCCTCTTTAGTTCTGTGTGGAGTTTGTTGATCTGAGCCAAGATGGACTGAAGCGATTGCATTTTGTTAACGCCGCACAAACGGTTCCTCTGCTCGTGTGTAGAGATTTAGAAAACCCTGGTGTTACCTTTGGGTGGCTGCTTAAGTTTAAACGTTTAAATCAGCATTTTGAAAGACAACTTTTTCTTTTTTTGTGTAGCGTTTTGATTTTTAGTTACTTTTTATTGCAAATAGTCTCCATTTTCTTTCTTTTTATGCTATTTTATGCCTTAAAGATACTTTGTGACTAAAACTTTCACCAGCAGAGGGCAGCATTTTTCCAGAATGTTTGCTATTTCTTCTTTTCTTCATTGCTTGAGGTTTTACCTTGTGCCCATCCCCCACTGTAAACGAGGATGTGTTTTAGTGACGGGCACAAACTTTGGAACAAAGCAGGCCCAATTCAAACTAAACAAAGACTTTTTGTTCTGTAGCTTTTGCACCCATTCACAGACCAGTTGGCAACTGGTCACTAGGGAAAAATTATTCTCCAACTGGTTGGCAAGTGGCTGTGAGGGTCTGCTTGCTGTTTCTAGTTGAAATTGGATGCAACGAGGTATGTGCACGTGTTTGTGTTCAGGCCGTGGAGACCTGCAGCCCCAGCTGGACAGCGCCATGCAGGACGTCAGCGATAAGTACCTGCTGCTGGAGGAGACGGAGAAGCAGGCGGTGAGGAGGGCGCTGGTGGAGGAGAGGAGTCGCTTTTGCTGCTTCGTGTCCATGCTGCGGCCTGTCGTGGTCAGTGATGCATTCAAACTGTTTATGCACAACACAGAAAGATGTTTGGAGCTCTAACCAGAGTTACGCACAAACTCTGCAAGCCTTTGAAGAAACACCTGGCCCCCTTTAGATTTGTATGTTTATGCTTTGCTGGACGTCAGCAGCTGCAATCCAAATGTAAATCTCTGACGAACATCAACTCCTACACCTTCTGTGCTGCAGCTCTCTCTTCAAACCTCTTGTGGAGCAGCTGCTGTGGTGACGTCAGTCTCAAAGCTGTTTTTTTGTGTAGAATTTGCAGCTGATGAATGTTTGTGTGTCTCAGGAGGAGGAGATGTCCATGCTGGGGGAGATTACACACCTCCAGACACTGACAGACGACCTGAAGATGCTGACCATGGACCCACACAAGCTGCCCGCTTCCAGTGAGCAGGTACTCGTGGTGCTGTGAGGGGTCGTGTGACCACACAATCAATTTGTCCTGTTATAAATGTCTCAGTTTCAGCCCTGTTTAAAATATTTCAGAAGGGTTTTTGATTTAAGCACGTTCAGCACACCTCCACTCACTCTACCTGCTGATCTTATGATCAGCGGTGACCTCGACACGGAGTAAACACTCCTTCCTCTGACCTGACTGCACACAGACACCTTCACAGAAACATCATAGACGATTCACAGCATTTTTTTCTCTCCAGGTAATCGTAGACCTGAAGGGCTCCGAGTGCACCTGGTCCTACCAAACTCCTCCCTCGTCACCAAGCACCACCGTATCCAGGAAGTCCAGCATGTGCAGGTTAGTTATGTGGCATGTCAGCTGCTTATTATCTCAACAATAGAGGGAGATAAGGTGGTCTGCTGAGAGCCTGTCCTCTGCTGCCCCTCTGTGGTTAACAAGTGGAACTACAGCTTTTTTAAAAATCATCGATTATTTTGAAAGTTTTGATTTATCAAAGAGAAATAACTCCAGTAAATGTTATTTAAAGAATATTTCATCTGTCTGACTCATTTTTAGGGTTGATTGTTTATTCTTTCATGTGATGAGCTGAGATTTTAAAACAGAAAATCAGTGAATGACTTCAGAGCTTCTCATGTTTCCTGACATTTGTCTCCTCCCGTCCGGCCCGCAGCAGCCTGAACAGCGTGAACAGCAGCGACTCTCGCTCCAGCGGCTCACACTGTCACTCCCCGACCTCCCACTTCCGTTATCGCGCCTCCTCCTCCTCTTCCTCCTCAGTGCTGCCCCAGCAGACACCCGCCCGCCTCTCTTCAATCTCCTCACACGACTCTGGCTTCATCTCTCAGGATGCCTACCAGTCCAAATCCCCTTCACCGATGCCCCCAGAGACCCTGCAGGTAACAAAAGTCGCGGCTCGGTGCTTTTAGTCATCGACTCACTGAGAACAGACGCCAAAAATAAACCAGTGAGTCTGTTTATGATGTCTGCGGATGTTCCCCAGCTCCTACGATGCTGTGTGTTTGTTAGCTGGAAGCCACATGTGTGCGTGCCTCAGTAACCTCAGAGAGAGATGGGTTCCTTTGCAGAAACAACAAAAAAATAATCTCGAGGTATCGTCAGATTTAGAGGCATGTCTAACACTCATAACAACAACATCATCATCTTTTGCTGTCAGTCTCGTCGTCATGTTGGAGAAATGACAAAATCCTGAACGAGACCAGGATTCATTCAGACGTCATCCAGTCTTGTTAGGGACCTTCAGGGTACAGACACCGGTCAGTATGTATTGATCAGTCTTTACCTATTTTAAATAAAGATCAGTTCCTCTCACACTCAACGATCCTGCTGCCCAATCAGGTGGAGGTGATGATGTCGCCCCTGGCTCTAGCTGTGAGACGCCTCAGGCGGGATTTGAAACTGCAGCACCTGCTCACCACTACGCTACCCAGCTGCATATACATTTATATATAAAACACATCATAGGCACTACTAGAGTTAAGCTATTTTAAATAAGATCATTTTAGTTTTAGTGCTGTGCCAAAATAATTTACATTAATTAAATATCCAAAGACGGAGCGTGAAGGTGTCCACTGTCTGCTGGTGCTGATGTTTTTTCAGCAAAGATAATTAGGACGTAAAGATTATATGTAGTCAGTTTGTTTGTGCTGATAATTTAGCACATGAACAAAATGACAGGATGTTTGTGATGTGAGAGGAAGGAGACGCTCAGAGTGCTTTCATCTTCACCTCAGTCCCAAAAAACTACGCTTTACTTTCAGGGTTGTAACCCAGCGCGCTGACACTGCGATATCAGACATGCTGCTATTATAAACCTTTAACCAGTCATGAATCACATAATAGAAGAAGACACAGATCTGAAGCTTCAGCCTGCGTTAGCTCTAACTGACTCACTGTTAAATATAATGAGAAAAATACTAGCAGTAGTGCTTTTTAAAAAAAATAACATTTCATAAAGTTGATAGTTTCTTTCCAGCTGCTGAACCGGCTTCTGCTTCATCTTTGCTCTGTTTGACCTCTGACCTGGGGTCAGTGTTTGGGAGATTACAGCTTGTTTCATAGATTCACTCTTTCTAACCCAATTTCACTGCACTTAAACGCGTCTTAATAATTTTAGACCTCTGCATGTGCACTAATGCTCCCAGCACTGCTTGTCCTGTTCTAACCTGTTTGTTGCTGCTTCCTCTGCTTCTCTCTCGTCTGTGTTTTGATCTGTTTTCTCGGCTTCCCTCTGTGCTTCCTGCAAACTGCTGTCTCTGTGTGCGCTCTGCATGGCGCTGCTGCAGTCGTGTGTCTCTGCTTCTCAGTCTGTCACTGTGGGGCCTTCCTCTCACTCCTCTTCTTCCTCACCCTCACCCCCCGAGCCACGCTCCGGGCAGCAGCAGGTGAACACGTAGACACACAACTGTGTTAGTGTTTAGTTGTTCTTGTTTGTGTGTCACACTCTGCAGCGTGAAGCTTTTATTTTTGAGTGATATGAATCGGAGCCTTCATGAAGCACAAAAAGCAGAAACGTTTCCAGCTGCTTAACAAATCCGATTACACTCAGTGCTCAACACACACAAGTAAATACATGAACAATTAAAATATAATCTAGTGTTGGCAGAGGAGGAAGAAATATTCCAGGTTTGATTGGCAGCCTGATAATCATCAACATCCTGAAAACTAAGAACAGCACACGATGTTCACTCGACCATGAAATGGATTAAAAGATTCACTCACTCAGTCTAATTAACCCATGTGAGGGGAACCGAGCTCTGTGAGCAATAAAGGGACCAAAAACAAACGGATTTGCCCTCATGTTTGTCAAACAGACACATTTACAAAAGCCAGTCTGGTCTGGTAATGGTCAGGGTGAAGAGCAGGTGACAGGTTACCTGCTCATTTTACCAGGTAACTGTTCAGAATATGAGATATTTATAGGATGAGGCTCTCAAGCAAACAGTTATTCTGAACTTTTTAAAATGAATATTGAGTCAACATGTTTGATTTACTCATGAATGCACAGTTGAGTGACTTTGATGCACATCTCAGCTTCGTTACTAAAACAGGAAGCATGCAGTGAAACCTGATGAGCATCACCATCTGGTCCTCAGTTATGCTTCATAATTTCTGTGCCTCTCTGCACT